TAAACAGTAAGTCAAATGAAGGTGAATTTCCTTAAAGAACTAAATCTTTCTGCCCAATACCATGGCATACACCTGTAATCTCAGCTAGGAGGATTGCAAGTTCAAGGCCAGCCTGGGCAACTCAGCAAACCCCTGTCTCAAAATAAAATTTTTAAAAGAGCTGGGGCCGGGTGTGGGGGTGCATGCCTGTAATCCCAGTGAGTCAGGAGGCTGATGCAGAAGGATAGCAAGTTTGAGGCCAACCCAGGCAACTTCACAAGACCTTGTCTCAAAGTCAAAACAAAAAAAGGAGGGCTGGGAATGTGGGAGAACATTTTCCTAGCATATATGAGACCCTGTACTGCCCGGATAAAACACTAAGTCCCCCTCAGTGGGCTTGTTAAATTGTGCTCCAGTGGGACATCAAGAGAACTTTTTTGACCTTATTTCCCGTATTCTGAACATTTTTTATATAGTCCTGGGGATTGAATCCAGGGCCTCACACATGCTAGGCAAGCACTCAACCACTGATCTACATCACCAGCCCTTTTTTATTGAATTTTGAGACAGGGTGTCCCTAAGTTGCCCAGGTTGGCCTTACACTTATGATCCTCCTGCCTCAGCCTCTCAACTCACTGAGATTCCAAGTGTGCATCACCATATCCAGCCTGGATACTTTTCAAAATAAATACTTCCATTTGATTAATAAGAAAAGTGAGATGAAGTGAGTTACAGAATAGAACTAGAAATACTTCTCTTTATCTCATGAACTTCTTGGTCTCTGACTCCGTAGTCATTCCACAAATGATGGGAGAGTAGGTTATAGGACAGTGATGAGTACATGGTAAAAACTAAATACTCCGTTTTGCTGTTTTCACCAAATTCCTTTGCTGTATCTCCTATCAGACAGACCTGGGGACTAGTCCCTTAGATATTGGCGACTGGCATGGTGCTTCTCTGTGCTCCCCATTCTGGTTCAGTTGGCCAAGCTGCCATGTTTGTTGGGCACTTGAGCAGCAATGCCTTAGGAGACTTCAGATCTGGTTGAGGAACAAATTTACCAGTTTTTCATCCATTATTTCTCCCATTCCTTTCTCACCCAGCGGAAAATAGTGAACTGAGCAGAGAATATGAAGAATCGCAGAGCCGACTCAATCAAATCCTACGGATAAAAACATCTCTGACGTCCCAAGTGGATGATTATAAGAGACAGCTGGATGAAGAGTCAAAGGTTTGTTGAGGGGTTGGGTTAGTAGTGACAGAACTACTTCCTTAAAGAAAGTTATAGGTTATGAAGATGCAGAAGGAACACAAAGAACATTTTACACAATAGCAAGTGAAAAATTTAACTACAAAACTACAATATGTGATGTGTACAACTAAATGAGATTACATATCCTCAGGGACAATAATTAGAAGAAGGAAAATAAAGCCCTGGTGGCTTTTGCTGTGGGATCATGTGTCTTTCCCGCCCTCTCTCTGCAGTCACTGTGAATGCAATGTTACGTAGAGTGACGGCCATGGAGCCTACACTGGCCCCCCCAGGGGCAGTGATAGGCTCATCCCCGCATCATCCCCACAGTCTCGCAGCACAGCTGTAGTGAGTCTGGCCAACACTAAGCATGACCTGGACCTGCTGAAGGAGCAGCTGGAGGAAGAGCAGGGAGGCAAGTCGGAGCTGCAGCGCCTCGTGTCCAAACTCAACACTGAGGTGACCACCTGGAGGACCAAATATGAGACTGATGCCATCCAGAGGACTGAGGAGCTGGAGGAGACCAAGTGAGCATCAGCCTGGGATGGGAGAGCCAGGAGGGCTGGGTGTGGTGGCTCGTGTCCTGTCACTGCTGAGGACAGTGCCAAGCCCAGGAGAAGGAAGTCCATGGGCTCCTGGAAAAGGAGGACAGTGTCTGGACAAAGGAGCCCGTCTATGCTCTCGGTGGGCTATCTGCTGCATGCACTCCCAGTCCTCAGGGTTCACCTGTAATCAGGACTATCTCTGCTTTGATGCATCCAGGTTGCCTGCAGGGGCTTCAGGAACCAGGGCTCTAGTTTCAGGCAGGACTCAAGGTGCTCAAGCATCTCTGGCCTTGCTAAATGCACGCTCCCATCCAGTGGGCTGGGCTGATGTTGGAAGGACACTCAATGGCAAAGGTTTCCCCTCTGCGGGCTCACCAGCTTGGTAGCAAATGTCCTCAATTCCTTTGAATTTTCTTCCTTATTGACTAAGTAGAGAAGTGGATACCATGCTTAACAGCCTGGGCTAAACCAAATCTCAATACCTAAGCATCCATCTCTGCCTGAAACCCTCTCCCCAGGAACTCCCAGGGTCCCAGCTCCCTTTCTTGAGGTCTTTGCTCCTCTATCCTCTTCTCAAAGAGCCTCTGCTGACATCTCATTTAAAAATCGTAGTCACCCCTCACCTTCTATCTGTTCCCTTTCCTGCTTTATTCCTCTCTATAGCACTCAAGTTCTATGTGTGATATAACATTGCAAAAGTTTCATGAGGGCAGGGATCTTGGTCTGGATTGCATATTCTCAGAACAAAATAGGGACAAAAAAAATATCTGTTGAATGAAGAAGTGAATGGACAGTGACCGCTCTCCTCTAAACACTCCTCCACATCTGCATCTCTTCCCACATTGACACCAGAACTCAGTGCCATACAACCCTGCCCCCAACAATGTGAGGCCATGCCTGTGGGCTCCTAGGTTTCCTTGATGGCACCTCGGTACCTCATCCACAGGAGAAAGCTGGCTGCCAGGCTCCAGGAAGCAGAAGAGGCAGCTGAAGCTGCCCAGGCCCGGGCTGCCTCCCTTGAGAAAAATAAACAGAGACTCCAGGCAGAAGTCGAGGACCTCACCATCGATTTGGAGAAGGTTAGAGGGTCAAACGCTCAAAGGCTGCATGTTTACTGGGCAAGTGGCCCATAGCAGTATTGGGGCAAGACTGCCACATGTCTGGGGGTATCGGGAAGAAACTCATGGCCCAAGAGGGTGGAACACAGATCCTGTCTTCAGTAGTGCACTGGACACAGCTCCTGTTGGAGTATCTGTTTATAAACTGAGACCTGAGGTCCTAACACTCAATAAGCCACAGCATTTTCCCTCGGTTTCTGCAGGGGCTTGGTTCCAGGACCTCAGAAGATACCCAAATCTGTGGGTACTCAAATACCTTACTTAAAATGACATAGCATTTGCACATCCTCTCTAGATTACTTATCATAACGGATGCAATGTAAATGGTATGTAAACAGTTGTTATATTGTTTTAGGGAATAATGACAAAAAAGTATCTGGTACAGGTGCAATTTTTTTTTCAAATATTTTTGATTCATGATAGGTTGAATCTGCAGACATAGAACCCAAAGGTAAGGAGGACTGACTGTATTAGATAGATAGGTCCAAGAGAAAGGTCAGATTTGTCCCCAAGATTACATAATACCCCTTTCTTCTTCCTTCTTATGCAAACCATATCCTTCATACCTTGTGTAGCTAACTATTTCATTTTGCATTCTGGGTTCATGCTGATCTGCTGTCTTGAGCTGAATTAAATTAGATTTCCATTAGTACACACCTCCCTGATCTTGGTCTAAAAAAGACCTTGAAGCATGCCAGCTGGACCACGTGCAATTGGTTCAGAAAATGTGGCCATTTCCAGTGGCTACTAGGAAGCTCACATCCACATGAGAGGCTCCAGAGAAAGGTCCTAAACCATCTCCACCTTGCCCCAGGCCAATGCTGCAGCAGCTGCCCTGGACAAGAAGCAGCGAGTGTTTGACAAGATGCTGGCCGAGTGGCAGCAAAAGTGTGAGGAGCTGCAGGTGGAGGTGGACAGCTCACAGAAGGAGTGCCGCATGTACATGACAGAGAGCTTCAAGATCAAGACCGCCTATGAGGAGTCCCTGGAGCACCTTGAGTCAGTGAAGAAAGAGAATAAGACACTGCAAGGTAAGTCTGAAGGTGGGCAGAGCGGGTGGGCCTGCAGGGATGGGGACAGCCAGAGCCCCTTCCTCCTGTGTACATCATCGGCTTGAACACAGGTCTGGCACATTGTAGGTGCCTAATAAGTGTATTGTTGATTGGCTAGCAAATACTTTCTAGAGGAACTTGAGAATGTAACTTTAGGAGAATCACGTAAGCTTTCTGTGCTTTGGTTTCCTCATTAATAAAATAAAGAAATAATACTACTTCATTGTGAGGTTGTCACAATAGAATAAAATAAATGTATGAATTCTTAACTCCAAAGAGCAGCTGACACAAATAAGAGCTCAAAAGATTTTATGTTTTGAGCCCTTACATGTATCATATGTAAACATACATATGTGTATGTGTGAGAGAGACAGAGAGAGAGAACATGTGCTGGGAGTCAAACCCAAGGTCTTGCATATGCTAGGCAAATTCTCTACCACTGAACTACAACCCCAGCCTCATATACATTTATGAAATATAGGACCCTCAGGCTAGAATTCCATCCCATTAGATATTGCTTTTAAAATGTTGACTGTCTTTTGCAAATCGTTCTGACATATAAAGATTTGACTGAGTCATTATTTGTGTGTGTGTGTGTATGTGTATGTTTGTCATAGGCACACATTTCTAACAAACCCAATTGTGCAAGAGATGTCACTCTTTATATTAAAGAACTGCTTTTAGGCCCCTCGTTCTAGGGAACAACAAAAAACAAATCTTAGTCATTGCAGGATTTCTTGATTAATTTTGGGTTCCCCAATCTGCTTTCTTCCTTGAGTTGTATCTAAATTGCATGCTGATATAGGGTCACTACAGTGGAGGGCAAAGGCAGATGATGTCAATGATCCCCAAACCTGCCCAAGGTGCTATGAGTCCCTCTCAGGAGATCTATCTGCTTAGAGAAGAGAATCTTGAGAATCATATATTTGAGCTAGAAGGGCTCCATTGTCTTAACCTCAAAAGTAAAGGACTTGATCATAAATACATGAGGTAAGGATTAGGGAGCTGAACCAAATAAAGGCAGTCTGGGCTAGGAGAGCAAAAATCAGTAGGAGTGGAGTGATGGTCAAGCACTGGTTCAGCCAATAGGTCCAGTACCCCCTTACTCACATACAGATGAGGAAGCTCCCTGGTAACCTGGGGGTTAAGAGCAGAGGAATATGTACCTCATTGGCAGGTGAAGCCCATGTGCGACCAAATCTTGAGAAGTAGCCCCAGTCTGGTGGCAGCCAGGGAAGAGAATGGCTGAACAGCCTGCTGGGGCCGAGAGGTTGTGACGCAGCACACAGCTCCTCACGGTCCCATGGCAATGCAGTGATGTTCAGGGAACAGCCATGGGGTCCAGAGATACAAGATGGGGCTATGTGAGCCACGGACTTGTCATTAATGCCAGCACAGGTGGACTGCAACAACTGAGATTTAGATGACATCCTCTCCAAAAGCCACCTGGAATGGAGAACCCCAACCATGGATTAAGAGAGCTTTCTCTGTACTCCAGGAGACATCAGCTAGAAGTTGAGTTGTGGATGAGTCAAGACAGTTGTATTTCTTGAACATCTTTGGTCATAGGCCTGGATCTTACCTGTCCCAAGGTGCAGTGTGTTCCCAGGAGTTCCTCTGGGTAGGCGACTGAGGGGTCTCCAACTGGGGAAGGAGATGGGAAAGGCTCTAGTACTCCCCAGTGGGTTTTTTGTAAGTTGATTTTGAGCACCAGGTAGGACTCTGAGAAAGGAAGACCTAGTGTGTAGGACTAATAGGCCTTGGCAGGGGGAGTCCCCTGGGCCTTGACTCCTCATCTGTAAAACATTGAATCCAATGTTCTACAGTGTCCAAACCCTGATATTCCATGAGTCTGTGATGTGAAGAAAATTGCCCTTTCTTTGATTCCAAGATGCTAGGATTATCTGCTTCTCACCTGCGTGATGCCAGGACCCTGGATTCTAATGATCTTCGTTTACCTCATTCACATGAATATTCCTTTCTCAGAGGAGATAAAGGAGCTCATTGATCAGCTGGGTGAAGGAGGGCGGAGTGTGCATGAGTTACAGAAGTTGAAGAAAAAACTGGAGATTGAGAAGGAAGAACTTCAGGTGGCCCTGGAAGAAGCTGAGTCTTCCCTGGAGGTAACCATGTGGTATCACTTGGGGCTGGACCCTTGGCCAGGGACTGCACACCTTCTTGGCCAGGAAGACTGATGGTTATATTCCTGGTAGGTTGAAGAGAGCAAAGTGATTCGGATTCAGCTGGAACTGGCTCAGGTTAAAGCTGACATAGACCGGCGAATCCATGAGAAAGAAGAGGAATTTGAAGCTACAAGGTATGGGATCTGATTGGGTGCAAAGCTGACTTTAAGCAGGGTGCTGAGTGAAGTCTGAAAATCTGGGTCTCTGCCATCTATTAATGTGACCTTGGTCAGTTTAGGTGAACCTCAGTTTCCTCATTTGTTAAATGGGAGTAATGGTGGTACCCTACACTGGTGGCCCTGTCTGGTTTACAAACACTTTTAAGAACAAACTAGCTTAGCTACATTGGCTAATAATGCTGCATATCTGTTGTGTGCTTACTAGCCATTTATATAACTTTTGGGGGATAAATGTCTAATTTTTTTCCCATTTTGAAAATTGGATTATTTGAGTCAGGCACAGTGGTTAATATCCATAATGCTAGCAACGTGGGAGGCTGAGGCAGGAGGATTCAAAGTTCAAGGTCAGTCTGGGACACTTATTAAGACCCTGTCTTAAAATTTAAAAAAAAAAAAAGTTTTTAAAGGGCTTGGAATGTAGCTCAGTGGCAAAGTACCACTGGCTTCAATTCTCAGAACCAAAAATTTAAAAATAAATAAATAAAATAAAAATTGGGTTATTTGTACTTTTATTGTTGAGTTTTAAGAGTTCTTTGTATTAGGGATGGGTATATAGCTCAGTTGATAGAGTACTTGCCTAGCATGCACAAGGCTATGGGTTCAATCCCCAGCACTGCCAAAAAAGAAAAAGGAAAGAGTTCTTTGTGTCTTTGGGATACTAGACTCTATCAAATATGTATTTACAAATATTTTCTTACATTCCATGGGTTATCTTTTCACATTTTTTTTTCCTGTTACTGGGTATTGATCTCAGAGGCACTTTACCGTTGAGGTACATCCCCCATCCTTTCAAAAAAATTTTTTTTTCTTGAGATAAGGTCTCACTAAGTTTCCAGCTGTTCTTGAATTTGTGATCTTCCTGCCTTCATCTCTCAGGTCACTGGGATTATAGGTGTGTACCACCATGTCCAACTTATCTTTTCACTTTCTTGAAAGTGATTTTTTTGAAGTTTTTGTACTTTTGAAAAAGCCCAAGTAATCTATTTTTTTCTTAGGTCACTTGTGCTTTACGGGTTATATTTAAAGACCCATTGCCTAATTCAGTCACAAAGATTTATGCCTATATCTTCTTCTAAAGAGTCTTTTAGTTTTAGGTCTTATATTTAAGTCTTTGATCCATCTTGAATTCATTTTTTAATATGGTTTGAGGTAGGGATCCAACTTCATTCCTTACATGTGGATGTCCTGTTATGCCACCACAATTTTTTTAAAAGACTTCTCTCACCATTGAATGGTCCTGGAATCCTTCTTGAAAAAGAATTGACCTTAAGTGTGAGTTTATTTCTAGATTTTAAATTCTATTCCACTTGTGTTTATGTTTATCCTTATAACAGGACTGTACTGTCTTACTATTATTTTGTAATAAGCTTTGAAATTAGAAAGTATGAACCCTATAATTTTATTGCCTCCTAACAATAGTAAGTCTTTTGATCCATGAACATATATATCTTTCCAATTATTTAATTTTTCAACAATATTTTGTAGTTTTTTCTGTATTTATTTTTTTTAACTCACTATTTTTTTCACTCTTGCAAATGTCTTGATATTGTGTCCCATATCTGGAAACTGAAAGCCCACAGGTTGGGGATCTAAAAAGGGAGGTGACAGAATCTTTACATTCTAACCACTTACTTTCTGTGATTCAACATTTATTGAACACCTCAATTACTTCTTCTGTCTCCTCCTATAAAAGGAGATTAATGAGACTTATATGAAGGTTTTATAGAAATATTTGAGTTGATTACAATAAAAATATTTATTGGACTGGGGATGTGGCTCAAGTAGTAGCGCGCTCTCCTGGAATACGTGCGGCCCAGGTTCGATCCCCAGCACCACATACAAACAAAAGATGTTGTGTCCGCCGATAACTAAAAAAAAAATTTTTTTTTAAATGTTTATTGGTTATACACATTAAATACCACCAATTAATAGTTTTGGTGTGCATGTGTGGGTGTGATACTGGGGACTGAACTCAGGGCCTTACACATGCTGGGTTAGTGTACAACCACTGAGCCACTTCCTTGCCCCATGACTATTGTTTGTAAAGAAAGATGCAAACCTGACTGTGTGGCCAAAGCCCACATCTTCTAATGGAAAAACCAAGGACTTTAGCCTCTGGATTTGAATCATGATTCTATTGAGGGGGAAATGGGTGGACTTTAACATACTTTTAGTATCTTGGAGCCTGGGTTTCCCTGAAGGTCTAGTTTGCATGGTAAATGAATTGAGATCACACAAGACACATGGTAAATGTTAGAAAATATGACCCTCCCTTCCTTTCCCCAAAGCATTGTACTCCCCCATTTAAATGTGTTAAGGTTTTGTTTAATCTCACAACATGGTGGACATATCCATCCTTATGTTCAGAGACAGTTTATCCAGGAAGGTTTGGCACAGACTGATCAGTGGGCACAGTATGCCAAGGTCTTCTTCTCTGCTTGTACTTACAGGAAGAACCACCAACGGGCCATCGAGTCCTTGCAGGCCAGCCTGGAGGCAGAGGCCAAGGGCCGGGCAGAGGCACTTAGGCTCAAGAAGAAGATGGAAACAGACCTGAATGAGATGGAAATCCAGCTAGACCATGCTAACAAGAACAACAGTGAACTTGTAAAGACACTGAAAAGACTGCAACAGCAAATCAAGGTAAGCAATCTGAACGATGAAGGACTAATCCCAAAGCAAGCATCATTGGTCAAGATTGAAGGCTTACAGGGAGCTAGCTTCATGTGTCTTCAGCAAGGATAAATGCATGAGAGTGAGCATGCAAATGGCTGGCAATCTAGGGAGCAGGAGACTTAGGAACTGTCTCTCCAACAGGAGGCCTTCACCACCAAAATTCATATTCTGGACATCTGGAAAATGGGAAGAAAGGAGGGAACATGAAGTTGGGACTGTCTGGATTTTAAAAATCATTTTGACTTTATAAACTATTTCAGCCATAGAAAAAATAAAGAATAATGAACACTCAAATGCCCACCACTCACCTTAGGAAAGAAACACAAATAGAGCCGAAGGCCCTTTTATTACCCTCCATCATGGAAGCTGGTGGTTAAAGCTTACAGAGCTGGATCTATGCATCCAGCACTTGTTATTTGATACCTGCCCATCCAGGCACTATTTTAGGTATGAGTAGTAGAAGAGTATACAAGAAAGAAATCATCCCTGCAGATAGATATTAAGCAATAAATAAATAAAACTGTAGCATTTAAAAATGGCAATAAGTGCCTTGGAGAAAGAAGAGGGCAGAGGAAGGGAGCCAAAATCAGCCAGTCAGACCGTAATTTTCCAAGGTTGTCAGGGAAGGCTGCCTTGGGAGGGCCTTCCCGGGAACACCAGGTGCTCTGCCATTAGGAATGCCCCAACCTTACATTGTCCTTTTGATGGATAAGTCCCCTGCCACACTGTGAACTAAGATACCTATATCTCACTCTCTCCCTGTGGCCTCACCTTCAGTCCTTGTCCCAGCTTTCTGCCTCACCTGGTCCACAAATGTCATGGTGCCCTCGTGGTCCAGCTCCAGCTCATACCAGAGCCAGAGAAGGCTCAGACTGGGTCCTTTTGCCCTCCAGGACCTTCAGGTCCAGATGGATGAGGATGCCCGGCAACATGAGGAGCTGCGGGAACAGTACAACCTGCAGGAGCGGCGCCTGAGCCTGCTGCAGACGGAACTGGAGGAGGTGCGCTCGAGCCTGGAGGGCAGTGAGCGCTCTCGCAAGCTGCTGGAGCAGGAGGTGGTGGAGATTACCGAGCGGCACAATGAGGTCAACATCCAGGTAGGACAGCATCTCCTGGGTTGGTGCCTCTCGGACTCACCCACTTGAGCATGGGGAAAGGTGGGTGCTGGGGTGAGACCAGGATGGGTGCAAACCACAGGGGCTCCTGCAAAACTCAAAGGCAGGCAGTGTCCCCACTTGGCGAATCCTCAGAATTCATTTGCTGAGCTTTTAAAAAAAGTTGTAGCAAAAAAATCCTCAACATAATTGAACTTTGAAGTGGAAAGGACCTAGAATATTCTGTAGTCTTACTTTCTTTGTGGTGTTAGGGATTGAACCCAGAGCCTCACATATGCTAGGCAAGTGCTCTACCACTGAGCTATTTCCCCTGACATTCATTTTTTTGAATATTTATTTTTTCATTGTAGTTGGACACAATACCTTTATTTTATTTATTCTTTTTATGTGATGCTGAGGATCAAACACAGGACCTCGCACATGCTAGGCGAGTGTTCTTCCGCTGAGCCACAACCCCAACCCTATGACATTCATTTTTAAAATGAGAAATGATGGCCCATAGTCAGCATCTAGGAACCCCATCTGCTGCCAGTGACAACACTTATACTGCTTCTACTCACAGTGCACTCCTTTATCAGAACAGCTAATTCCTTATTTACATCATCTCTTGTGAATTACCAAAAGAATAAATCTGTGTGAGACATATGAGGGTTACAATGTCATTTTAGGGATGAGAAGATTCATAGATCTAAGGGATTTATCCACACAGGTAGAAGTGCATTTGATACAAATTCTGTTTCAAAACCCAGAGAAAAATTGAAGGGAGACCCTCACTCATGCAGAGAGCCCAGGACCATTTCCTGCTGGGGATTCTGGCCAGTACTTCTGGGAGAGGGCCAGTCTTTCCTGAACACAGGAAGAGCTATGCAGACCCCTGTTTCATGGCAGTGACTCTGTTTCCTCCTCCAGAACCAAAGCCTTCTCGTGGTCAAGCGCAAGCTGGAGTCAGACGTCCAGCGCATCTCCAACGAGCATGAGGAGCTCATCAGCGAGTTCCGCTCTGCCGACGAGAGGGCCAAGAAAGCCATGACAGATGTAAGTGCTGGTGTTGCTAGCAGCTAGTGGTGCCCAGGGCCTGGCACCTGCTGAGGACTAGGCCACACTGCAATGGAAGGACCAGAGTAGATTTATTCATGGAGTCTTGCAGTGGGGACAGGGCCCTGCTCTGGAGGAGCCCAGGGCTTTTCTAAAAAGTCAAACACAGGAGAGTAGGGTGGAATTACAAACTACTCAAGATCTTGTGAAAGGTTACAGTGTGAGTCCAGAAGACTCCATCAAAGGAATCACTGAAGTAGGCTCATCTGGGCAGGCTTCTTGGCAAGTGGGCTGGAGGCAAACCAGACTCAAGGCAAAAGGTCTCAGAGGTGGATATTGGCAGTATGTACCACCAAGTATTTTTACCCCAACATCCCTTTGGGTACTCACACCAACCTTAAGTGATAGTTTCTGTTTATTTCCATGTTGAAGATGAAGGAATACAGATCTTTAGTGTCAGGTTCCTCCCACTTGATGGAAATTTCTAGAGTTCAAGAACATTGTTAGTCACTGTGTAGGTCTCCATGAAAACTGGTGGAATTAATGCAAGAACAAGGGGGCTGAGAGCAGATATGCAACTTGCTGAAGGCCACACAGGGACTGGACTTAGTCCTAGGTCTTCCAGCTCTAAATGCTATACCCCCTTCCAGGGTGACAGCAAAGGGTTTTGCTTGAATGCTCCCAGCTAGCAGGAGGGAGGAAGCCTGGCCGTGCGTGTATGAGCCTGCCTCCCTCTTCTTACTCAGGGGCACATGGAAACATGGGGACCCCCTCTCCACCAAACCCATCAACACATCAGCAAAGAGCCTGTTGCTACCACTTGGTTCCCAGAGACCAGCAGACAAGTTCCCTCATCTCTCAAAGGCACTTAAAACCCTGAGTGGCAGCTGGGCACAGTGGCACATGCCTATAATCCCAGCAACTCAAGAGGCAGAGGCAGGATGATTGCAAGTTGGAAGCCAGCCTCAACCACTTAGATCCTGACTCAAAATTTTAAAAAACCAAGAGAGGACTGGGATGCAGCTCAGTGGTAAAGCACCCCTGGGCTCCATCCCCAGTCACTGAGAGAGAAAGGAGAAAAAAAAAAAAAAGCCTGGGTGGCCCCCAGCTCTTACTCATGCTCTTTTCCTTTCTGCCTGCAGGCTGCCCGCATGGCAGAAGAACTTCGGCAAGAGCAGGACCACTGCATGCACCTGGAGAAAATCAAGAAGAATTACGAGGTCACCATCAAAGACCTGCAGGCCAAGATGGAGGAGGCTGAGCAGCTGGCTCTGAAGGGAGGGAAACGTACCATCATGAAACTAGAAGCCAGGGTAAGGGCAATGCTGGGCCTTCTGTTCCTGCAGGTCAGCATGACTATTGCCAAAAAACAAACAAACAAACAAACCTGCGTGTTTGATGAGATATTGGATTATACAAGTGCTAGGAACTAAAATTAAGCATAGACAACAGTTCTAATTTATTTATTCAAAGTTCTCCTATCCTCTGCCCCATCATATTTCTTCCCAGAATGCACTTGGCCCTGGAGCAGAGCAGTTCCTCCTACTCTTCCTCTGCAACTGTGTCCAACATTATTCCTCCCTCTAAGTACTCGCTTGGTTTTCTAAGGCCTTCATCTTTACCCTGTGAAACATCAGAACTGGAAAGGGCCAGAAGGTTTCGTTGACCTGAACAACTTCCTGACTCTTTCACTTCCCAGATGAGGAAACTTGAGACCCTGGGAGACAGTGACTGGTGACCCATAGCATGGCCCATGAAAGGCAAAGCCCACCTCGCTTTCCCATTCAGGCCTCATTCACTCACCTCTGGTCAAGAGGTGGACACTGTAGCCATGATAAGCCCATCTAATGTCTCTGAGCTCTGAAGTTCAAAAACCTGTGTTCCCTCAACCACACTTCTCTCTTCCTCCCTCAGATCAAGGAATTAGAGACGGAGCTGGACGGCGAGCAGAAACGACATGTGGAGACAGTCAAGACGCTGCGCAAGAATGAACGTCGCCTCAAAGAGCTGGTCTTCCAGACGGAGGAGGATCACAAGACCAACCAGCGCATGCAGGAGCTGGTGGAGAAGCTGCAGAACAAGCTGAAGGTCTACAAGCGGCAGATCGAGGAGGCGGTGAGTGCTCGGCAGGCTCCCCCACCCTTCCAGCCCTCATGCTTACTCCCCAGCCCAGGTCATCATCTGCCTCCATTAGAACCAACCATTGGGAAAGGGTCAAGTATTCATTCAAAGATGACTTTCATGAGGCTTGTGTCCTTGGCACCTTGTCAGTATTGTGTGGGAAGGGGACCAGATACAGCACGCTGAAGATAAGAACACGTAAAAAGCAAAAAAATAACCCCCACAAATACTTCCATTAACTGCAGGTGCCATCTGGAGAGGGTCTGGGCTGCCTCTGTCCTGCTTCCACTGACTCTGGTGGCTCTGGCAGGGCTTTTCTTTATCTCCTGGTCGGACCGTAGCAAGGACCTTCTCTCATTTGATCCTCCTGATGCTGAGACAGGAAAATTAAGATTCTTAGTCTATGTTATAGGCAAGGAAACAGATGTAGAGTAGAATACTGATTTTAATGTTAGTGAAAGTCAACTGGTTAGCAAATAGCAGTTTCAAGTCTCAGCCCTACACCTCACATCCCACACTTCACCTTCCTGGACAGGGTGACTCTGATGTCATTTGCTTTAGGGTCTGGAGCCACCACACTAAGTCCATCAGCTAAATGTGCACCCAATGCTCTTTCCGAAAGGCTCAATAAAAGCCAGACTGACAGCAAATCAGGTTCTAACCCTGGAGAAGCGGGTGGGGATGGGGACCCAAACCATGGTTGTAACCGTGTAATTTCCAAAATTACTACAACTCTGTGAGAAGACCAGGAGAAAGGAGATGTGTGATTGGGTGGGAAAAGGGCTAACCTTCCATGGTGGGACACAGGTGATGCCTAAAACCACCAATTACAGAGCAGCCACAGAAGCACATTTCATTTAAAATATGGATGACAAAGCAAAAATAATCAACTAAAAGTGTTGTGAATGGTTGTCCCTGGCAAGGCCCCCACCTAGGTCTGCTGTAATGACTGGACCCCTGGACATCCCTGCAGAACTGATAAAAATGCACACTCAACCAGGACAGGCCAAGTTTACACACCGTGCTCTTGTCACAGGAGGAGCAGGCCAATCAGACCTTGGCACGATACAGAAAGACAGTGCACGAGCTGGATGACGCAGAGGAGCGGGCTGGCATGGCGGAGACTGCCCTCAACAAGCTGCGTACCAGACACCGCGTGGCCGGCAAGGGCATCACCTCCGTGGAGATCATCCAAGTGTCCAAGACAGGTTCCTCCAAAACCCTATCTGAGGAATGAGGTCCTCCAAGACCACAGCCGGTAGGTGTGAACGCCATTCTCACTGCCGAGTTTCCAATCTCACCTCCGCAGCACCTGCTTTGCTCCTGGTAGTGACCAGAGTGCCACCTAGTGGTGCTACCTATGCTTTAAGGCTTGCAGTCTCTTGGGTCCTAATCTCCTATGCTTCCCCATGCCTCAGTGGCAACACTCCTCTGGATTCTCACACCCTTCCAGTGGGTGCTGTCCACCTGCGTCACAGGTGCTGGTAGTGGAAGGTGCTGTCTGAGTAGAAGGCAGCTTCTGCATATGAACCACTGACCCTAGACCTGGAACACAGGTGCTCAGGACACATTTGCTTCTTTTTTTTAGGGGTGGGGAGTTTACTGGGGATTGAATTCAGGGGGACTCGACCACTGAGACACATTCCCAGCCCTATTTTGCATTTTATTTAAAGACAGGGTCTCATTGAGTTGCTTAGTGCCTTGCCATTGCTGAGGCTGGCTTTGAACTCACGATCCTCCTGCCTCAGCCTCCCAAGCCACTAGGATTACAGGCATGCGTCACCATGTCCAGCCAACACACTTGATTTTTTTCTTTTTCTTTGACATGCTAAGGATAGAATCCAGGGTCTTGAACATGCTAGGCAAGCACTATACCCCTGAGCTACACTCCCAGCCCACAACATGCTTTTTTTTCACTGGAGAGCCACAGGGATATTGTAAGCACAGGGACAATGAGCAAACTTCTTTCACATCCCCCACCATAGCATTCTTCATGGAGATTCCATCGAGACTGGCTGAATTTCAGTTTCTAACATTAATCACCCTTGTAGCAGCTACCATTCCTTGAGCACTGAGTTCAGGTGGGATTTCAAGAGGGCAACTTAAAATAGCCCTTTCCTACTCCCTTCAATTCAAAAACAATTGAGAAAAAGATATAGGAAACAAAAATATAAAATTCAAATGCCCATTTTATGCTATAATTCTAGATGAGGCTGTGGCTCTGTTGTGTGTTCACACAGGCATCCTCGTACTTCACCTCAGAATTAAAGGTGCCTATAGAACAAGCACCTCAGGCCAAGGACAGGTGGATCCAAAGGCAGAGAGCAGATAGGGCTCTACCCTGTCTTTCTGCCTCCTTCTTCCAAACATAGGTTAAATCTCTCCTCTCTCCATGCAGAGATGTAAGGGAAAGATCAGGAGAGCAGTAAAGGACATTATTCTAGAGCAGTGTTTCCCCCAAAACATGGTCCCCTGGACCAGCATCATCCAGGTCACCCAGAAAGTTGTTAGAGATATCTACTGGGCTTTGCTCCAGACCTACAGAACCAGCATCTCTGTGGCTGGGTCCAGCATCTGGAGTATAACAAGTCCTCCATGTGACTCAGATAAGTGAACAAGTCTAAGAACCACTGAGATAACTAAAATCTGCCCTTACAGAAACAGAGCCAGGGAACAGAGGTTTCTCCTACTTACACAAGAGCCAGGGACAAGGCAAATGCTATCTTATTTACCCTATGAGGTGGGTATAAATATCCCCACAACTCAGAGAAGTCTGACTTGCCCATGGTCATGCAAACCCCATGTTCTGAAAAGGCAAATTGTTTGTTTTTAATTTGAATTATTATGGGGATTGATAAGGTTGCCCTCTGCTTGGGATTAACCAGAATAGCTCAAAATCAAGGGCTTGGTTCAGGTTGGGGGGGGGGCAGGGGAGACAGATGGTGTTTGGAGCATAAACATCAACCTGCATGGATTCTGGGGATTACTTCTGGTCTTCTGCTTACATCCAATAGGGCCTTTCACAATCTCACCCCTGCCTACCCTGCTGGCTTCAGCTCCTACCACTCTCCAGCTCTCTCCCTCATCTGAGCCCCTCTGCTGTAGTCATGCTGTACCCTCGTGAGAGTCCCACTTCTGCATTTTTGTGTGTGCTGGGTCTCCTGTCTGGAAGGCCCTTCTCTCCTTTTTTTGCCTGGTGAAGGATCGAGTTTTATTTATTCTTGTGTTATATTTACTTGGCCTTATGTTCAAACATCTGGTTGAATCATACTTACGGTTCACAATCTCTCAGGATCAACCCTCTGGCTTTTAGCCAAAAAGTGATAACCCAGATGACATCTGAATTCAAGCTTAGCCTTATCTTACCACTTGGTAGGGAGGAAACAAAAATAAGGCACAGAATCTTTTTCTTAATTTTCTAATTCTGAAATAATAGCTCAGAAAGTTAAGGAAATCAGAGGCTATCTTTTGGATAAGTCCTATAATTAACATGTAACCAACTCCTTTTAGGGCATTAATCTGATAGGGATCCCTCCTGCTGAGCTCTCACTTAGGTGGGATTATTCAGGAGGCCACTCAGGTGGCATTTCAGCCTCTCACACCTAAGTCTTATCTTCCAAGATTAGATAACTTTTAAAGCAGATCACCCTGCCCTGTTTGGGGGTCTTTATTCCTGGGGTCTGCTGGCCTTGAGGGGTCCAATTGCTCTATCATAGCAAGGCTCTGCTTCCATGGCACCAGGCTAGTACTGCCACCAGTGTCCAGAGGTGATGAGGCTGGGCAACGGGGGTCTGCTCTTCATGTACTGATCCACCTCCCTCCTTAGCCATTTCCTCTTATTGGTTATAGGGCTGGATACATCATCTGTGCAATGGAATTCCTCAAGCAAACTAGCGAATAAGCCAGGACCCTGCCTTCATGTTCATGAGCTACAACAGAATTTAATTTCTTAAAATGGCATCATATCTTTCCCACACATATTGACCCAGCTCTGAATATGGGCTAGGCCTGTGCTCTGGGATTCAGAGGTGAATAAGAATGTCCTCCCCTGAGATACTCAGAATCAGGTGGAGCAGTAGATGTATGCATCAGTCACGAAAAGCATGCAAGCCAATGTTCTGTGATACACTGTTTGCATTTCATGGGAGGGGATCAAAAAACAGGAGTGACTGGCTCAACCCAGAATGGCAGGGTAGAGCATTTCCACAGAGACATGACCTGTTCTAGGTCACTCACTATTTGTTAATCCTCATGACAACAGAAGTGCAGAAACTGAGAGGAAGTTTTTAGAAATTTTTAGAGTGATTTACACGATGACATCCAAATACATGATTGATCTATTTTACAGAAAATCAGTCTCTAATAATTACAATTAAAAATTAAAATCAAATAAATATGATACTTTAAAAGAAATCTAAAAGAGACTGATCCTTCACCAGGCACAGAAGGAGAAAGGGAATTCCAAAGAGAAAGCCCAACATATGCAAATGTACTGAGGGGTATCAGGCACAATGGCACACACCTGTAATCCCAGCTACTCCCCAGGATGCTGAGGCGGGCCAGCGTGGGCAATTTAGTGAGACCCTGCCTCAAAATGAAAATAATAAAGGGCTTCTTCTTGGACTATTCCGTGAAGACCTTAAAAGAGCATGCTACAGGGATACTGCCACATCGATGTTCATAGCAGCACATTCACAATAGCTAGACTGTGGAACCAACCCAGATGCCCTTCAATAGATGAATGGATAAAAAAAAGTGGCATCTATACACAATGGAGTACTATGCAGCAATAAAAAATGACAAAATCATAGAATTTGCAGGGAAATGGACGGCTTTGTAATGTTGTGAACAACCAATAAAAAAATAAAATTATTTAAAAAAAAAGAAAGAAAGAAAGAAAGAAAATAATAAAGGGCTTGAAAAGTAGCATGGTGGTAGAGTGCCCCTGAGTTCAATCCCCAAGTACCACAAAACAAAAATGGTACAAAAGAGAGATTTTTACAAGGGCATAGCCTGACTGCAGCAGAGGGGCTCAGGATGAGGCTGGAGAGCTGGAGAGTGGTAGGAGACAGCAAGGTAAGCAGGGGTGAGGCTGCGAAAGACCTGCTGGGTGCAAACATACCATAAATTTTGTATGAAAGTCTCACTGATTTTTAAAATCTAGTTGTGGGATGTGATGAGGAGCAAGTTTTCTCTTTGGGGGAGATACTCATGTCACAATGGCAAAGCAAACCTCTGGGCCCCTCATGAGAAACCACAGGCAGGCTCTTGGGAATAATCTGGCCCTCTCAATGGCCTGTGAGGTGTTCAGGCCTACTTAAACGTGCCAAGTCCAAAGAAAGTGTCTCTAAACCCGCATCTTGTGCAAAACAAGGTAGGTGTGACCCAGTGGTATTCATGACAAGGAAGCCTGGGCAGCAGCAGCCTAGGTGTCTCAGGGAGTTTGTAGCAAGAAGGAATAAAGATGTCAGAATCCTCAGCACTGACCTATATGGACCTTCTTTCTCTCTCTCCCCCCCCCCCAAGGTGATACAGATTTCAACAGCAGCCCATTGAGAGGAAGAAAATGTGAAAATGGAAAACTGGGACTATCTTGAGAATGTTTACTATGCAAAGGAAAGTACAAGCCAGAAAAAGTCAAATGCTGAAGAATAAGAATAGCAATGGGGGGAAAATTATTTTGGGGATGTAACATCCAGTCATTAGAGAAATTAAACTTAATGTAGCTTCTTTGGGGCTGCATCAAACATTTGGATTACAATAACAATGGGTCTGTTTTAGTTGAGATCTTACATGTTCATGTCAACGACGGAATATGTGACCTGGCTGTTCTCATGTTGATAATTGTAATGCCTGTCTCTGTCCCCATATAACCTAAATAAAAGAAACATGAATAAGGGATTGAGTAGAGCTTGTTTTTAAATGAAAGAATTTTATTGTTTTAAGATTTCCAAATCCAAAGGCAATTTTTACAATTGCCACATACCTGATTTCTGTTGTGTACCTATATTCACAGGTTTGCTTCAATTGGATACCATAATCCCCACGCAGTCTTGATGAGGTTCTTTCCAAACTCCAAAAAAGTATACAGAGTACTGAAGACAAACTAGGCTTATTAAGACCAAAAACATTGTAGAATCCCCCTGAGGGAATATTAAGATGTATCCAGGCTCACATCCTGTGAAGCTGATGCATATTCTGCCTCAGTGTCTCCCAGAATGTTTGAACACAGGCGAGTCAGCTTCTGAAGGGCAGCTTTGTGTGTTTTGTTCATGGCTGTATCCTCAGCAACTACTGAGTGCCAGGCCTGAAGAGGTCACACTGTAAATATGTGTAGAGTGACTAGATGATAGAATGAATTGACTTTCAAGGTAAATCCTCTCTGATGGTGCCAAAAAGTTAGTTTTCAAATCAAGCTGAGACCTGGCCCCTGATGGTCAATCTCCTGATGTCCCTGGTTTTGAAACCTAGGGTCCTGGGTTTCAAATGGAAGACAGTTCTCACAGTTCCTCCAAGTTTTCTCTTCTCAAGGCTGAATACTCCTGGATCCTTCAGCCTTCCCTGGTGTGGCAGGGTTTCTGTTATGACCTTCTAATACTCCTGGACCCTGTTCCTTTCCTTGCTTTCCTAATCTTCAGAGTGCAGCTGTAGGGCAGCCACGAGGAAAGATTTCCTGCCACTTCACAGCCCTGGGAACCCTGGCTCTCTGGAAATAGTGTGTCCTTCTTCTGACCTCTGACCTCCTTCTAACACACTGGCAGACAGAAATCATTGTTGAAGGGGCTGGGGTTACAGCTCAGTTGGTAGAGTGCTTGCTTAGCCTGTACAAGTCCTTGGGTTCGATCCCCAGCACTACTGAAAAAAAAAAAAAAAAGAGAGAGAGAAAGAAGAGAAGAGAAGAGAAAGAAAGAAAGAAAGAGAAATCATTGTTCAGAGCCAGACATGGAGGTGCATACCTATAATTCCAGTGACTCAGGAGGCTAAGGCAGGAAGATTGAAAATTCTAGGTTAGCCTCAGCAAGACTCTGTCTTAAAAACAAAAAAGGGCTGTGGATGTAGCTCAGTGATAGAGTGACCCTGGGTTCAATCCCCAATACAAAAAAAGAAAAGAAAAAAGAAACCATTGTTCATGGCGATGAAGAGAGGGATACTATTCCTTGGTGAGTCTATCTCCATCATCCCCTAGGTCCACATCACCCTTGTGATGGTTCTAAACTTGGCACCATCTAGGTAGCTCCAGAGGGAATTTTGTTTCCTTTCCTACAACTGAATCAAATGTGAAAACATTGCCCTCTGGTGGCGGGGTCTCTAACTGCCATGTGTGAATTTCCTGGAGATACCAAATCACAGAATTTTGGAATTATTTTAAAATTTTAGGGCTGGATGGGATATTTAACAGAGTAGCTAGCCAACTCTCAGTCAAGTGGGAATTCTCCATATCATTCCTCAAAAACTAGTAATCCGGCTGGGGATGCGGCTCAAGTGGTAGCGCGCTCGCCTGGCATGTGCGGGGCGCTGGGTTGGATCCTCAGCACTACATAAAAATAAAATAAAGATGTTGTGTCCACTGAAAACTAAATAATAATAATAATAATAATAATATTGGAAAAAAACTGGTAATCCATCTTTTACTTGAACACTGACAAGGAAAAAAAAAACAGTCTGTGCCAATTTTGAATGATGATCATGATCAGAAAGTCCCACTTGATACTGAACCAAAATATTTAGGGGATGAAAGGAGTACTAAATACTTTGCATTGTTTGTTCTAGTTTTCATCTCTATAGTTACCTAAGTCTAATTCATACACTCTGAAGTTGGACAGAGAGGTTCCACTTACCCAGGAATGTGATCTGAAGCAACTTATCCTATCTAACCTGTTTCAACTATTAAATGAGGAATAGAAGCATCTGTGAAGTTTAAATGAGATGACTTGACAAAGACACTTAGCAACTTTTTTGAGCATTCTGCAGGACTTTAACCCTTGTCCTCCCGTGGAGCCTTAATCAGGTCTATCACTCTAGTAGATGACAGCTGTGAGCCTCCTGCTGGAGAAATGTGAGGGACATTCCATGAGGCCTTAGGTTCCATTGTGGGCTGGGGATGCAGCTCAGTGGTAGAGTGCTTGACAAATGTGCTCAAGGTTCCATCCCCAGCACAGAGACCCCATCATTGTCTCCTGGTGGATGGTTGGCCCAATTCTCCCCAAACTCAGGGCATTCCAAAGAAGCCCCTTGCTTTGCAGCAGCGATGGGTCCAGATGTAGGTGGTATCAGTGACTTGACCAAGATCATAATGGTAGAGCAAGAAATTCCTTGTAGCATGAGGTCAAGTTTCTTAGTATCTGTAAGAAAACGGACTCTGTTCTTTTCTAAGGATGTTTATTTTCAGAATGGCTTGATACAAGGTATAATGTGTGGCCTTGAAAAATAATGACGTTAAGTGGTATTCACAATGATCAAAACCAGGACACTGAAACCATGTTCTTCGAGAAAATGGACCAAAGATTACTTAAATGGCTTTGTCTTGAGTCAGGTTTCAAGGCTGCTATACATCACCAATTGCCTTTCTCCTCTTTTTTTGTGGGAGTGGGAGTGGGGAGTCCTTGTGGGGAAATCAAAAGGTTCTGAGTTTTTCTCAAGGAGCATAACCCATGGGTGTTTCCAAGAACCAAGAAATCATCACAAACACTCCCAACCCTCCCACCCTCAAGCTACCAGGAATCAAGGCTAGAGATTTATTATAAAAAGGTCAACCTTGAGTTAGAGTTGAATCAAAAGTTGGATGGGATGATGCTGGCTATTATAAGGAACTATTCTTCGAACTTCTTCCCGTTTCCTGAGTTAGGTTAATAAAAAAAATGAGTTCTATAGAACTATTGCAGCAATAGTTCTATAAAACTTTCCTATATAGAAGTTTTTAAAACCAACTTCTAGCAGGTTGTGGTGGCGTACACCTGTAATCCCAGTGGCTCTGGAGGCTGAGGCAGGAGGATCGAGAGTTCAAAGCCAGCCTCAGCAAAAGCGAGGTGCTAAGCAACTCAGAGAGATCCTGTCTCTAGCAGTCAGAACTATCAGTGGTCTGAGACAAAGTGAAACATATCTGTGAAAGATATCAATCTATGGGTGGTAACGGAAGCCAAGCGCCTGTGAGGTTACTTAGAAGGTGTGTCTGGAGGGAAGCAGAATATTGGGCTCACTAGCATCTGTGGTCCAGGTCCACAAGCAGGAACCAAACAGGAGCCATTGTGCTCATAAGTAAAACAGGTATTTTGTTCAGTGTTTTATGGAAATAATTATTAGACTTACAATTTTCCATTATTTTAAATTTGTCCCTAGAGACATTCTCACATTGATTAACTTCTCTCCAGGTATGTAATCACTGGAATTTTGCCAATATCTTCATTTGTGAATGTGATATGGTAAGATGCCCATACATAAAGCACATAAAACAGGTATCTATATGCCATGATTAGAACTAACTATAGTCATTCCAGATTAATCAATTTCTGAAAACGGGGCTGGGGATGTGGCTCAAGCGGTAGCGCGCTCGCCTGGCATGCATGCGGCCCGGGTTCGATCCTCAGCACCACATACAAACAAGGATGTTGTGTCCGCCAAAGACTAAAAAATAAATATTAAAAAAATTTAAAAAAAAATTTCTGAAAACAATTCTTAGATCAAAGGAGTCTATGCTACATTATTTTAAGTAAGAAATAAGCATGTACTCCCAGCCTGTCCCAAATTCCAACCAATGTATCCAAATATCACTAAGACCTTCTTAAAAACCTTCAAACAGTTCTATATAATATAAACATTTAAATACTAATTACCCAATTATTTAATACTTAATGAACTCCCTGATTATGTTTGCAAGCAGTAATGATGATATACACTCTGGGTGAGAATTAAACATTCCTTCTAACTGGCAACAAATATGTATGGTAAACACAACATAGTATGTGTCAAAGATATATAATTGCATGGTGGTGCACCTAGTACCAGTTACTCAGGGTGCTGAGATGGAATAATCATTTGAGCCCAGGAATTCAAAGCCAGCAAGGACAACATAGTGAAACTCCATCTCAAAAAAAAAAAAAAAAAGATATATAATTAATGCAATAGAATTTAGCAAACTAAAACAGACAAACAGGGTAATATTAAAAAATGGTTACTGATCAAATTGCAAAAAATTTACTCAAAGATAAAAAGAGACCTGAAAATGTAATAAGACCTACCAGGTCAATATCCAAAAGTAAAGAGAACATAAAAAAGTGAGCCCAGTATTTAGGACTGCTTACTCCACAGGTTACTCACTGATTCTACTGTGCCTTTTTAATTTTTCTCCTTGAAACAGGGTCTCACCTTGTGACCCAGGATGAACTCAAACTCCTCCTGCCTCAGCCTCCCACATAGCTGGGACTATAGGTAAATACCACCACACAAAGCTGATTCCACAATAGGGAGGTAAGAATAAGATTCTTGGGGCCGGGGTTGTGGCTCGGTGATAGACTGCTTGCCTAGCATGTGTGAGGCACTGGGTTCGATCCTCAGCACCACATAAAAATGAAATAAAGATGTTGTATCCACCACCTACAACTAAAATATAAATATATAAAAAAAAGAATAAGTGATTCTTTTAACAGACTTTCAGGACTATGAAGATGAAAGTTGAGAGGACCAGGGCCCTTCAAGGATGGGGAGTCAGCCTCAGCGACTAAACAAGGCCCTCAGCAACTTAGCCAGACCCTGTGTCAAAATAAAAAGGGCTGGGGATGCAGCTCAGTGGTAAAGTACCCACATTCAATCCCTACTACAAAAAATAAAATAAAAAGATTGGGAGTCTTGCTAAATACTTACTGTATTAGGATTCTTCATAGAAATAGAACCTATCTCCAATAAACCATAAAGAAATAAATAAAAAGATAAGCAACTGGGTCACATGATTATGGAGACTGGCAAGTCTTCTGCAGTTGACATTCAAGTTTGAACGCTGGAAACTGCTGTAGAACCAGAAAGAGATGATGTTCCAGTTTGAAGGCTGACACGCAGAATTTACTCTTACTCAGAAGGTCAGTGATCTATTTTATTCAAGCCTTCAACTGATTGGACAAGACCCAATCTAATCAGGGAGGGCAATCTCCCAAATCTGCTTTATTTAGTATACCAGTTTAAATGTCAATCTCATCCAAACTCTACCCCGCCCCGCCCCCAGAAACACCCAGAATAATGTTTGACCAAAATACAGGTGCTCTGTAGTCAAGTTGACACACAAAATATCTGCTTGTGACAAAAGAAGAAATATAGTCATTATCTTACAATGGTTCAACTTATTTATCAACTTTATAATGATGCAAAACTGATAAGGCAAGCACCAACACAACCAGCCCATACTTCAAATTTTGAGTTTTGATCTTACCCAAGTAATATGTATTCCATCTTTTATTGTAATGTGGGCCAGCAGATGTGAGCTGCAGCTCCCAGCCAACCATGGGATCACAAGGGTAAGCAACCAATACTCTACAGTGTATTATGTTGCTAACCTAGGACATAGGTTATAACCTAGAACCTAGGTGTATTAATATTTTATACTTAGAATATATATTCAATTTATGATGGGATTATCTGGAAGTGATCTCCATTATAAATCAAGGATCATCTGTACTTGGCAGTTGGTAAGTACTTATTAAACACCTAATGACTTGGGCTAGAGATGTAGCTCAGTGGTAGAACCCTTGTCTAACATGCTTAAGGCACTGCTCCAGGTCCTGAGTTCAATCCCAATTACTCATTCCCACTCTCCACACCGCCCCCTAGCCAAAAACAGAGTCCTTGCATAAATATCTGATGACATGAATTTTGACCAAATTCCAATCCAATCCAATTCCAAACCTCTCTGGCAAGCAACCAAAATCATCCCTCAGCAGTGTCCAACCCCTCTCTTGCTCTCACCCTCCACTTCTAAGTACTACAAGCTAGTCTAGATGTTGCATGACCCCAGAGGACCATTTGTTGGTTCCCAGAGTGGTGCTCCTGGGAAATGATGGAAACTTTAAGATCCTGGAACTTAGTAAGAGGTTCTTAGTGCCACTGCCTTTGAAAGGAAATGTGGGATCCAGGCCTCTTCCTTCTACTTTCTCTTTTGCTCCCTGGCATTGAGGTAAACTGTTTGCTACTTCTCATGCTCTCTGACATTACCATCCAGCATACCCACCACAAACTAAAAGCAATGGGTCTGCCCAATCTTGAACTAGACCATCCAAAACAGGAAGTCCAAATAAACCTTTTCTTCTTTGCTAATTATCTCAGGTTTTGCCATAGTGCCAGCCTGAGTAATACAACCACCTTTCCTGATACTTTTTTATTTATTATTATTGTTGTTAGTATGATTATTATTTTATGGTGCCAAGGATTAAGCCCAGGGCCTTGAGCACTACACCCCCAGTCCTTCTGATACTAAATTTTTAAAAGTCAGACTTCTTATTTTAGATACTAAATCAGTGTCATCACACGCAAGGAAAACACCATAACTCATCATTGGTCCTCCTTGGAACTCCAGTGGCTCTGACACAAGCCATGATGGAAAGGTCAGCCCTGCTCCTTCCTTTTCTCAAAATCTTCAAGACTCAAAATTCTCTGGTCTTGAGCTGGGGTTGTGGCTAAGTGGCAGAGCGCTTGCCTCGCAGGTATGAAGCACTGGGTTCAATCCTCAGCACCATATAAAAATAAATAAATAAAATAAAGATATTGTGTCCATCTACAACTAAAAAAATATTTTAAAAAAATTATCTGGTCTTGTTTCCTCAGTTTCAAAAATAAGGTGGTTAAAGATATCATTTAAATTAAGAATTCTGATTTCTGGCTGGGGACAGTGGCATACACCTGTCATCTTTAGGCAGGAGGATCACAAGTTCTAGGCCTGCCTGGGCAATTTAGTGAGACCTTGTCTCAAAACAAAAACTAAAAACGGCTAGGCATGTAGCTCAGTGATAGAGTACCCTGGGGTTCAATCCCCAGTTGGGGGGTAGGGGAATTCTGCTTTGAAATTCATAAATGGTAAGCTTTTAGGCTAAAATGCAAAATATTCAAAAGTGATTGATAATGAAAGCCCATTATTTTTTTCTGGAGTTAGATTCTTTCCTTTTTTGTCACTGATCAGAGTCTGGTACTAATTTTTCTGTCATTCTCATCTTCCCAGGTTATAAATTCCTTCAAAGCAGGAACTGTTCTTCGCAAAGAGGTGGAAGGCTCTAAATAATATGCAGGTGGTGTTTTGACTCTGGGTACCAACTCTACATACTGAGGGATTAAAGGAATCCTTGCTTTCTTTTTAATTTATTTATTTTTTTGTAGTTGTGGATGGAAAGAATGCCTTTATTTTGTTAATTGTTACGTAGTGCTGAGGATGGAACCCCAGTGCCTCAGGGATGCTAGGCAAATGCTTTGCCACTGAGCTACAGCCCCAGACCTAGGAATCCTTGCTTTCCATGAATGCTGACTTTCCTTTTGCCAAGTTGTCTCTTGGGGCGGTTAATTTACAATGATCCTTCCAATCTGTCCTTGTTCCCCCATGATCAAAGACTTTTTTGACCATGCAACAAAGTAAAACCAGTGTCTTCCTGCTTTAGCGCTCCATGAACAGCTGAATTAATTAAATCCAAAGAACACAGCATGGATGTGAAATTGGGAGTCTGATAAATTCACTTTTGTGAACATCACCTTACCATCAAGCGTTGGGGGTCAAACGTGTAAACCGAGAGAATGAAACGAGCACTAAGTTAGTGACCTGCATGGGATGGGGGTGCTGCTCCAGAATCTATATGGATTCAAGGACTGGTTGGAAGTGGGGTCCTGGGGTCCGCGACAGTTCTTAGAAGCTGCATCTGCACAGCAAGCACCCTGTCTCCACGTGCTTCGGGAGAGCAGCCAAGTTCCCCCCAACTCTTTTTTCGCCGTGGCGCCATCTTGGGAGCAGGGCACAAGGGGTCCTGACTGAGGAAGGGTCGAGGAGGTTCCACGGCTTCTGACCCAGACTTTCCAAAGGGACAAAACCAGTCATTCCTCAGATCCACACAGCTCGAACGACCCCAAGCCTCGGTAATTCCTGTCCTGACAAAAGCGCCTGTGAAGCGGCCAAGGCGCCACACCTTGTTCCATTATTCTGAGAAAACTTTCCGAGGTGAGGAGTGAACCGCCCCACTCTGCTCAGCCAGCATCTTCCAGCTTTTTTACGGTTCCGAGGCCGCGGGGACAGCGAACCAGCTCCGACACCCAGCCGTGGCCCCCTCCCAGGCCCCGCCCCTCGGTGCACGCTGAGTCTGTGCGCGTGCGCAGAACGACCGCGCGGCCTTGCTGCGCAGGCGCAGTGGTCATTTCCGGAATCTGTCAGCCGCTCCCTCTGGGCCTCGGTCCTCCGCCCTCGCCCGCCGGAGCCTGTTCGCGTCGACTGACCAGAGTCCGCGAATTCTCCGCTCCGAGCCCCTCCGGACCGCCCCGACCCCAGGTAAGGAGCAGCAGGGGCGAACGTCTGACCCTGTTGACCTCCATTATCCTGATCTCGCACCTGCTTGGGACCCGCGGAGGCGGGGAGCCGGGGGCTTAGGCCGCAGGGAGCCGAGGCTTGAGGGCGGCCGGGTCTCCCTGCCTGGGCCTCGGAGTGGGCACGGAACCCCTGTTCTCCCGGAGCACCTCTGAGCCCCTGGCGTCCCCCCGCACATAGATCGATCGCTTCTCGCGATTTTCTAGCTCTGGGTCACCTCGGATCTCTGGAGTCCCCAGGGCCCCGTTTGCACCTCTCCTATGGGCATCTAGCAGAGTCTGTAAAACTGAGTTAAACGGGATGCTCTCCTCCTAAAGGGTCGTCAGTAGGCACCATTCACTTCTTTCTTTAGAATCTACAATAAGTCCCTGCCCGCAGAAGGCGCCCCTGGAATATTTGCCTCCTATCCAGGGCAGCCTTCAATCCTTTAGTTATTCCAGGACCTACCCCAACTCGAGGAGCGTCTTCCCTCAGAGTTCTTAAGATTTCCCTTGCAGGAATCTCCCTCAAGTCAAAATTGCACCTTTTTATGTGCTTCCATTATCTTGGTGGAACCCCTTATGTAGGGACGCCGCAGTTCCTGCCCAGACACCACCACTTTGTTGGGTGACCCTGGGAAGATTGCTTCTCTTTGCTCATCTGCAATGAGACGATTCTTAGTTTTTTTTTTTTTTTTTTTTTTCTGAGAATCAAGAGAGTTTATTTGCGTAAATCGCTTAGAATAGTTTCTGGCTCGGAGTAGGTGTTCAATAAATATTAGCTGTTATTACTGTTTCTGGGCATTCTATGTCTTTCCTTCCTCTCCTACTCCCACACCCTACCCAGACTTGAGGAACAGAATGGTGTCTGATTTATTTATATTTCTGGCCCCATCCTGGTGCTTGCAACACCGTTAGGAACATAGTAGGCACGTAATACTTGTGCTTTAGAATCTTTAATTATAAAACCATCTGTTTTATAATACTGTGCCTTTGGTGTCTTCCATTTTAACTCATTTGTCTAAATTACTGAAATTATCTTAGTTCTACCCACTTTTACCAATTTAATCTACCTTTTTTGGTTTTGGTAGGCCTGGATTTTCATCTATCTTAACATGAAGGAGAGGTTATCATTCAGGAGGGTCTATTTACCCTATTAGAGAGTGGGTGTCATTGGCTGTTTCCTACCAGGTGGTATTTAGGGACCTTCTAGAATTCATCTGTCTCTCAAAATTAGAGGAGGAGGAATCATCTTGGAAAATTAAAATTGCTGCTTTGGAGGAAGAGTGGCAATAATTGTGATCTAGTTATCTAATTCTCTACTAACACAAGTCCTGCATGGTGAGACTGGAATTGGAAGGTGTGGTGACCTTGTAGGAGTACCTGATATTCCTGGGTTGGGTAATGAGAGCAATTAGAAACTCGATGAATCACAATCTTGAAAACTGACCCTAAACAAGGAACTGAAATTCACACTGATGACTATTTTAAAGCTTCACTGGAGCAAGGCAAGAATTTATAGCATGTTAACTTACCAAGCTCCAAGGGTACTTTTTAAGGATGGTTCAAAAGCCTCCAACCAAAGGAAGAAAGGGAACCAGCTTAGCAACAACTAAAACAGTTGTAGTATGGGCTGGACTCTGCACTGCATGCTTTTCCATGTTATCTCATTTCACCCTCCTGCCAATAGCCTTGGGATGTCAATAGCAGATCTGCTTTACAGATGAAATAAATTAGATTCAAAGAGTGTCTTATTAGTATTGTATCAAAGCAAAGATTCAAATCCAAGCCCCCTTGACTGCAGAGCCCATGGCTAACCATCTATCAGAATTATTCTGCTCAAAGTGATAGGTTAAGAAAAGAATTGGGGAGTCCTTGGGATCATAATATGCCATAAATCATTTTTATCTCCCTCAGTGCTGGACAATGAAAGTAGAAACCTGCTAAATTTAATATCACCATCTGTACTGTTTTCTCCTCTCTGGTCCTATTACTACAAAGATTTTACATAAATATTAACCATAGTTTAGAAATAATTTTCACCCTATAAAGAAAATATGTTTTTTTTTTGGTAGAAAATTCAGACTATTATGAATTTCTCCTGCATTTACTGAATTTGGTAAATACAGGCTATGTTTACTAGCTGCATTATACATTTTTTAAAAATTTTTTTGTAGTTGTACAGAATGCCTTTATTTACTTTAATTTTTTTAGTTTTAGTTGGACACAATACCTTTATTTTATTTATTTATTTTTATGTGGTGCTGAGGATCGAACCCAGCACCTTGTATGTGATAGGCGAGCGCTCTACTGCTGAGCCATAACTCCAGAGCCTGCATTATAAATCTGACAAATGTAAATGTTGACTTGGCTTTCAGATGTAAAATAGCCACATGATTATAAAAGAAGTACAGGTCTGGGTATATGTTCAAATATAGAACTTGAGTGATATAACAATTAGAAATGCAATTTTAGAAGTAATTATGTCATTGTGTGTGTGTATGTATGTGTGTGTGTTTAGTTGAAGATGGACACAATACCTTTTATTTTTTATTATTATTTATTTATTTATTTTTATGTGATGCTGAGGATGGAACCCAGTGCCTTACATGTGCTAGGCAAGTGCTCCACTAAGCCACAACCCCAGCCCTGCTTACCTATTTTATTTTATTTATTTATTTATTTATTTTGATACCAGGGATTGAACCCAGGGGCACTTAACTACTAAGACACATCCCCAGCCCTTTTTATTTTTTTATTTTGAGATAGTACCTCTTTTTAATCTTGCTTATAAAACTGACTTGAAGAATGAAAAAGCCTTTGTATCTGTACCTTTTCAGATTACATGAAATATGTGCTTTTATTACACATAGATATTCACATTAAATTATTAGTTTGCAGACCAATTTTATTTCAGTTAACAAAAATGTCAAATTTGGCTTTTAAATTAAATTGGCTTAATTTATTTACTTTTGAGATGAGGTTTTCCCTTTGTTGTCCAGGCTGGTCTCTAACTCCAAGGCCCAAACAGTCCTGCCTCAGCCTCCAATGTAGCAGGAACTATAGGCACCTACTCCCCATCTTGCTCTAAACTACTTTTAATTAAAGAGATATTTGTGACATGTTGATGGGTTATTTTGAGTAGCTCTGAGTAAAATCTGTTGTGACAGAACAATTTAGGGTAAGCATCAGATATCAGGATAAAAGTATGCTGTGAGTCTCTGAAAGTTTTTATTTTATTTTATTTTATTTTTTGGTACCAGGGATTGAACCCAGGGGCACTTAACTACTAAGACACATTCCCAGCCCTTTTTATTTTTTATTTTGAGATAGGGCTTCGATAAGTTGCTGAGGCTGGCTTTGAATTCACAATCCTTCTGCCTCAGCCTCCCAAGCCCTTCTGCCACCATGCCCAAGCTTGAAAGTTTTGATTTTTAAAAAAGCAAATCAAACAGTCTGTTGAATTCATTAAATTTTTTAAAATTTTCAATTACAGGCTATTTCTTTATTTATGAGTTGCCATTTGCTTTTTAGGACATATAAAAGAAAATAATGACTTAAATATCTTACCCTTAGAATAAAAGGTGAAGCACTGATATTTATCTGGCAGTTTAAGATACTAGGTGCTTTTTATTTGAGGATGCCCTCAAATAAAAAAAAAATTTTTTTACTTTGGGTTTCCTTTAGTGGAAGTATTTCTTCTGTTTTCCACTAATACCATTTCTCCTCTCTTAGTTGAACTTTTATTGTTCATTCACAACCCTCTGGGGGCTCTTTTCTTTCTTTCTTTTTTTTTTTTTCCCTTCTTCTTCCATTTGTTTTCTATGGCGTCAGAATTGTTCCCTCACGTTTTAGGCGCCACCTGAGCCAACAGGACTTAAGTGTGTTGAAACTTCAGTTTGAAGTGAGTGCCTCTTAGAAATTCCATAGCTGGGGAAAGGGGAAGGTTGGTTGCTTTTTTAGAAAATTTCCCCCAATTTGAGGTAATGGTTACTTCTTTAATGGATCTAGATTTGGGTACCTATAAAATAGAGAATTTTACTTGATTTTAAAAAATATTTTTAGTTGCAGATGGACAAAATACATTTATTTTATTTATTTTTATATCATGCTGAGGATCAAACCTAGTGCCTCACACATGTGAGGCAAATGCTCTACCAGTGACCCACAACCCTAGCCCTTGATTTTTAATTTAATGTTATTTTTCACATTTCTGCCTTTCATCTAGTTATAATAAGATGTTAAAGAGTAATGTCACAAACACCTGCATAATATTTGCCTAGATTTACCAGTTGTAATAGTTTTTTGTCACATTCACATTTTCTATATTTTCAGGCCCAGACAATCGAAAATAATTAAGTGCTGTGGCGTACACCTGTAGTCCCAGCAGCTAGAGAGGCTGAGGCAGGAGGATGGAATCTGTTGCCTCTGGATTCAATTCCCAGAAGAAAGAGAAAAGAAAGAAGGATAGAAAAGAAAAAGAGGAAGGAAGAAGGAACAAGAGGTGGGAGGGAGGGAAGTTACAGAAGACATCATGACATATCATCCCTAAACATGTCAATATCTTTATCTCCTAAAAGCTAAGACAGATTCCTACCTAATGGCAGTACAATTAACAAATCTAGGAAAATAAAAATAATTCCATGTAATATCTAGTTCAAATTAAACATTTCCTTGTACAATGTATGTCTTAGGTTATTTTAAAACATAAAGATTATAATCAACTTCATTTATGGAATTTGGCTTTCATAGTTCTTTTTCAAATCTGGAACAGTTGCTCTCCCATGGTGCCTTTTTTGTAGTCCAGGCCCATTATTCTATAGAAGGGCACACATCT